ATACAGTTATCAAAGATTTGGGTATACATCATGAGCAGCTACAGTTTAAGTAAGTAATTCAGGTAAAAATTCAAAACAATATGAAGAGGCAACAAGCATAACAAGTCAAATATAAGCATGTTATGGAAATGATAAACATACTTCCTGAACCATTTGCCCCCTAATATGCAGATATGCAAGATATTGTTATAGCGCTGTGAGGCAACATCCAAATTCAGAATGCATTTCATTGCCTTTTTCCCCCCATTCTAAAGAAAAATTCCTCAATATTTTCAGGTATTAGAAGTGGGAAAATGGTCAACATGAGCGTAGAAAAGAATGTCATCTCCACATCTAGGAATATCCCATGGTTTTATATCCTTTTACAAAACTGTTTTGTCAATTACGACAATATGCCGGCAAAGAAGCATGAAGAAAAAGTTTTCCTTCATACAAGCATGAACAAATAAGAAAGTTTTCGATGTTGTGAAAATGAGGAGATCTAAAATGGAAATTTGATCAACAAAATGTGTTTTTTTTTAGCACCACACAGCCCGAGAAACACACAAAGCTGGAAATAGTAAACGTGCGTAGCTAAAGCAAAGAGGCTCATAATACACAATTATGTTAAACAAACAGTAACATTTCAGTTTTATCATGTGTCACTGTATATTGTGAGAAATTCTGTTGAAAAATTTATCACTAATTTGTTCAATAACTGCTTGTTACGAGCATAAAAGATGGTGAAAAACATACCCTTGGTTTAGAAGATCATGATGTACAATGAAAGCAAGTAACATTCGGCACCTAGAATGGGCATAACTTCAGACAGGTTGTTATGGTGCAAGTCAAATTGTATTACATGTACTTACTTTTACTTTTTTCATCCTCTGTTGCCGTTAAGCGTCGAGGGGAGATGCAGTTTTCTATGGTAGGCCAGTTAGGCAGCTCTTTCAATTGGGATATTATGATTTCTTAGGGTTTCCTTGACTCCCTGAACCACCTTTTGCGTGGCCTTCTTCTTCCTGTATAGCCTGAGTGCTTGGTGTTACAGGCTCTCGAGGTTGGCTGGCTAGGTGACATTCATACCAGGTGGCGAAACCATTTCATTCTCTATCTTTATATTTCTATGAAATGCAGGCAGGACTCAATGATAACAGCTGCTCTTACTTCTTCATTTCTCTGCCTGTCTCGTTTTGTGATGTTAAGGGTTTTGTTGAGGCATTCCATCTCGCAGGCAGTGATTTTGCTTTCATCATATTTCATGGGTTCTCCTTCATGTCCAAGTCTGGCACTGGTAGTGTAATGTTGGTATGAATATATTGAAGTGATAAGCTGTCTCTTTGTGTCCATGAAGATTTGTCTTTACCAGTCTACCATTAGTCAAGATGGCAATCGGTGCTGTCCTGTTACAACACCAGCCCTGCTGTACTGTCAACTTCAGGCTTGTCCCAAGGTAGGTGGTATAATGGGGTTTGTCTGTATTTACTGATATGCTGTTTTTAACAATTACCCAAAACCCTTCCAGCAAGACTGAGAATGGTAAGAGTTTAAATGGATTTGTATGTGTATCAGAAATAAACTTAACTCTCTTTCAGAGGTGGTCCAAGGTTCCGAGAAGAAAAATAACAATGAATATTTCCATCCATTAATCAGTATACAAGTATAGCATCTGAAATCAAATATGATTGACTTGATATTAAGTATATAATTAAGTGGCTGTCTGAAAGTTGTACAAATTTGAAACAAGAGAACTTTCAATAGCCTTATATTTTTCTATAGTATCAGCAACACATGTCAATATGACAAAACATAAAGAGCAATACTTTAAGTTTTACACTGAAGTAAAAAGTTAAGGACAATGTGATTTATCAACGAAATCGTTATTTATATGGCAAGAGGGATAGTATTGTTAGATGCTTATACAGCCACTCAAAAACAAATGAAAAGGTTTATAAGGTAAATTACCTTACTGATCTGTAAGTTTGTAATTCACAGAAAATATGGAACATCTGGGACATTAACTTGTAAATATGCACCCTGCATCCTAATCTGTCACATATTGAAAAAACAACAGAAAATGTTTGGCTGGTAAAGTATCTATGCAAATCAAGATAAAAATGAAGTACTAATCTTTTCAGATCTTTTTTGTTTGACAAACTTACGGGAAAGCTCATAACATCGATTATCCAAAGCAGAGTACACCACATGAAGAGTAAATCGGCATATAAAGCAAATATACTTTATTTTTAACAGTGTTTTAACTGACACAAGAAACCAAGTTTGCACACACTTTAAAAAAAAAAAAATCAACCTCTGAATGCTGGTCACAAAGATCATAAATGTAAAATTGGAGACAGATTGTGAAACAGTTGAAAACAAAATGATAGAGTTGACAGAGACCAGTTTGTCAACAGATGAAGTTCCATGTTGCCACATCCTGACAATCACTACTATAACGAGAGGATGAGTCCTTCAGCAGACAAAGCATACATAATCAAGACAACAAGCTTATAATCTCACATTCTTTATCAAGGGAAATTCCTTTTCCTCATGAGTCATGTTTGTAGACCAGTTTCACACTAAAAAGCACATCAACTCACTTCCAGGATTGAATAATTTTTTTTTGTTCTGGTTCTATTTACAACACTATAATCCTTGATTCTGACATCTTGTGTAACCAACATTTGCGTATCTATGAAAAAATTGAATAAATGTGTCTTCAAACTGAATATCTGGGTGAAATAAATTTCAGACAAGACTTACTTAAATCAGGGTGAAAGTTGATTACAGCACACACATTACGTGGATTACAAAACACAAGAGAATTTCCATTAGAAGGGAATTACAGCTAAAATGAAAGTTATTCACTGTAATCAATCAAAGAAATTCTAAATTGTTTCAAGTCACTCATCTTGTTGTTAAAGTCCCGGGAATATCAATACTCACGTTGTAATATCATAAGATCAACAAAAAAGTAACCAAGTACATATAATATTAAAAAATCAAAACTAATGTGCCAAGTGACCGCAGAGTGTTAAATCATAACCCAGAACAGTCTTGCACTATGATGTCTTCACTTAATATTCATTACACTGTAAACATTCCTTTGAAAAGAAAAACAATTATTCAGATCAATGAAGTTGGTACATAAATTATAAAAGAATAGGAGAAATAAAAAGAAACTTCTGCCATTTCTCAGAGAGAGACCATGGAAAAGGCCAGAAGGCACACCAGTTCACAATGAAGTAAATCATTTCAAGGTGAAAAATAAATGTAAAAAATAAATCATGACAGGTGAAGTCTTCAAAAAACAGATCTACCACTTCATTCGAACAACCGTGATGAGAAATGATAATCACAATAGCACTTTGCAAATCTTTTCTGATTTCTTGCTTTTCACCTCAGCAGACCTTACTTTTAACCATTTCTTAATTCAACCTTACTTAATTCATGCTAGAATTTTTTCATGAATCAAATACCTATGTACACAACGGACATTGCAACATTAATTATGGAGGTCATTTTTCCATGAACACAGACATCTAAAGACAAACTTAGTTTTTCTTCCGATCATTTTTGCAAAATTAAAAACAGACATGCAGGCTACACCTCATCTGCTAACATTAACGGAAAAGAATATTTTGGTAACAGGTGATAGCCTAACAGTAAATGCTTGTCCATCTCAGCTGACATCTCCCTGTATTAGGTCTTACACTTAATGCACAGTAGGCTAGTCACACTGACAATACATGCTGTTGTCAAAAGCAAAAACATTTGCTTTAATTAAAACAGCCTGGACGAGGCAAAAAGCCATTAAAAATATTAGGGTACAATACCACCTCAATTACGAATAAACTTTGTCCTCAAATAACAAGAATAACCTCTTGTTAATACAGTCGAACCTGCCCTGACGGCCACCTCTATAAGACAGTCACCTGTACAAACGGCCACTTTCCATTCCCCCCCTTGCATTTTTTCTATATAATTTAACTGTGTAAAACGGGCACCTGTCCAACGCGGCCGCGGCCACCAAATTTTAACACACAACCCCTATCACACTAAGAAATAACACCTGTCTTAGACGGCCACCTTAGTGACTCCATTACGTTTTGTCATTAATTGTGCATTGGCCCCTGGCGTTGTGGGCGAGCCGTCATAATTCAATCACCTGTCGTTGTTGTACGGTAGCCCCTCCAACCGATCATGTTGCGTAGGCCCCTCCCACTGTTGACCAATAGCTACCAATTTTCAGCTGTTGGTGAGGTAAGCGTGTGATCCCTCATAACCCATAAGCCCCACCCAGAACTCATACACGAATAGCAAGTGAGATGAGTGGTCACTGTTTACCCAGTCTGTAACAAAGTAACAATGGACGTCAACATGAAGCGTCGCTCGTTCTCCGAGTGGTGGCAACCCATGTGTTTGTTTTAACATGGCACTCGGCCTTCCTTGTCAGATACGTTTCGTTTTATTGTCACCCTTGTGCAAAATCAGCAACAAAATAAAAATTACAAACAAAACACAAACCAATAACAACAACAACAAAACAACAATGCGGCTACTTCCATTGGGACCTCAGATGGAAATGGTTTGTTTTCTTCATCTTGATCAGTCCTGCCTAAGACAGCCACCTGTCTCCTTGACAATGGGTGGCCGTCTTACACAGGTTTGACTGTATTTCTAATTATGCTTTTTGCTGAGCAGACGAGCAAAATCAAAACAAAGGGGAGACAAGAAGAATTAACTGCTCACAATCAACTATCACTATCAGGTATCTTTCAACCATAAACAAATACACACTACGCATAGACTTCACACTCAACTTTTGGAGATTTTTTTTCTAAAAATAATATCAAATTCACATACTTTGTTACAGTGAAGGACGCAGCTGTTGACTGAAATTCTTATCAATAAGATGTTTCACAGACTGAAATAGACTAAAGTATTGAAAATGAGTGCAGTTTAGAAAAAAAAGAAGAAAATATTCTCTCATATATAAAAATTATATGAACGATAAATTTTTTTTTACAAAACAGGAAAATATTTCTAGAAAACATCAGCTACTGATGATAGATACTTCATTGATCAAGAAAGATTTTGGACACTTTCATATTATCGGTGTCGCTCATTCTCAATTCAAGAAGGAATCTCTATGGAATCTCTACATTTATATTTCATACGTTTAAACAATGGATGATTAGCTGAACTCATTTTGAATTAAAGCTTATTGAAAAAAACAAAACAACAACAATCGTTTAACATTTTACATGCACAATGCCAGAAGCCTGCTACATTAAAAACTGGAAACGCAAATAAGTTTTAAGTTAACTCTGCATGTGCTCCCATAAGCAATATGGAGAAAAGATCTAAACACAGTCTTAATACAGGAACTTCTATATAAAAGTTTCGTTTAAAGATAAGTAAACAGAAAAAGGCAAGAACCAATAACTAATATCATAAAATGTCAGTGTACCAACAACATTGCAGGATAACGTAAACATAAGCACTTTACAAAAATATGCTTTAATCTTAAGCCTTCTTAAAAAAACAACAATAACAGATCTATAGACTTATGAAAACAACCCCATCATCATCTTTCCATTGCATTCTCACTATCCACATACTAATCCTTTCATTACTGTCTTTGATATGCCACTTTAAAAAGAGAATGGACTTTCTTAGACAAAGATGATTTCAGCAACAGACCCAACATATATTTACTACTGGCTTTTCCCAGATCTGAACAAATAATTTCCCACCAACACGCACCCATGTATACACTCATGAAGAAAAACATAATATTATCACAGACAAGTAGCTGTAAAAGGTATTCCATGACCCTGGAATAACAAGGTTCTATTTCAGTTACATTAACTTTTCAGAAATTTGAGTTCAAATTTTTCACACACTTTATCTCCCTCCAACAAAGAACATAGGCTTAATTCACCATATTATTTTTAATCTCAGAAGAAAAAGGAATAGGAGTTTTAACTTTTTTTTAATATATGATGTAGAAGGGGTTCAGGGCAAGGCCTCAGACACTCTAAACATTAAACATTTTAAAATTTAAAAATTTTGAGTTAAAACCTTGTTATTCTTGAGTCGTAATTAAAAAGAAAAAAAAAGAAAAAACGCTAAGAAGAAACGATAAATAATATAAATACTGTTCATAAAAATATGACTTGAATACTGAAAGAGACAAAGTCAGACAGACCCCCAAGAAGAAACCATGTTGCAAAGGGACAGTACTTCAGTGGATCACAAATTGATGAAGAATTTTATTCAAACATTGCTCCACTGGGAAAGAATTTACAGCATGAGACAATTTGTGGCCTTTAGCTTTTACTCCTTCGCTGCTAATGCGGACGTTCAGAATTTCGTCTCATACGGTACATTAAAATCTGCCATATTCTGACTTCCAGAAATTGATGAATGGTCAGCATCTGTGATATATATCACCGCTGTCACATAGAAAAATGAGCAGCTCAAAGCAGAGTCCAACATCATATGATGATATAACAACAACATGTCCTATGATCAGTCTGCCTTGTAAAATGATTGTTTAACTCATACAGTGCTACTGATGAGAATTCTTGCACGCCTGGTTCCTGTGTGCAGTTGATGAGTATTCTCGCAAAGCTAATATGTGAGACATCATGGTGAAATCAGGCGTTGGTCAAAATAATGAAATTTCTATATGTCAAAAATTTGACGAGCCTTCGATTCCACCACGTTGTGATATATCGTATCTTTAAGAAGCTAATAGTTTGGTAAAAGGATGTCCCTGCTCTTATCAATATTAACATGCGTAAAGGGAAAGCACTCTTTTGACATTTATAGGTTTTCTCATAGCATTATTTTTTATGAATACAGTAGTATATTTGATTTTCGGTGCGTTTCCTATGCCTAGTGTTATTGAAGTTTGTTTTTTCGCAATGGCCTCTAGTAGTGGAGAAAGTACGATCGCAGTCCCAAAATGATTTTCCAATCTAGAAACTTTACAGTTGTTATTGGGTTTTGATCAAAAGAGTGCTCAAATATCTAGTTCATCATTGATATTGCTGACAGTGGTTCTTATTTTCATGACAATAGTGATACAGAAATTCCCAGTACCATGTTAAAGTCTCATTGCTATATCAAGAACAAACATCACAGCTATTGTATAATTTATACACACATTGGGATAAAAGCTTACACACTCACTAATACGTCATTCAATTCTGAATAAGCAGCAAAAACGTTAATAAACTGTGATGACAGATGAAAGAGACATTTCTTTCATTTATCTTTTTTTGGAGTTGCCCTCAACCCCATTGGTTCACTCAGAAATTGCTCAGAACATCAGGGAGGAGCACCAATGAGTGAATGTTCTTTTATTCATCAGTTGTTTATATTCAGGAGTTTTATTCTTAAGTAGGCCTACATCTCTTGTCCAAGATACTTTACATAATCAATAGCTTATAGTTGCTAGTTCACAACTATTATGACAGAAAAAAGTAATGCATATTTTTTTGGGTGAAATTTGTTATTTAGGCCTCAAAATAGAACTTCACCTTAGCTGAAGAAAGTTGATTTGTTTATTTATTTACTTTTTACCTCAGTACGTTCTGGTAAAAACTCAATTACCACTTGCAAGCAGTTTGGTCAAGCCTATGTGTCTATGATTCCAGACATATTAACAACAGAGGACATATGTTTCTGTCACAAAATCCAAACATCAGTCTCATTCCAAAAGGTATGATTTATGCTTAAATGTCTAGCATACAGCCTCAAAACCTGATCCCAAGCTCACCATTATTCATTACGAGATTCCCTGTCTAAGGCACCAAAAATAAAGCACAGTGAAAAGGTAATACCAACAGAACATCAAGTTGCAAACACATTAGAATACTTGATATTATACAGAAACAGAAACCAGTCAACCAGAGACATTATTTTTTGGATAAAAAAAAAAAGATAAATAAATAAAGTACACATATGCCAAATAGTACATACCAATGCAAAATTGGGCCCATTTTGTTAGACTGAGCTACAAAAGAATATGGGCCTTATTCAACTATTGCGTTTCTAGTACCAGTGAAAAGAAATCTTTTCAAAATACAGAAATCTTAAAGAAAATCATGTTTCAGACTTTGTATTTACTGAGATCGTAAAAACAATGATTTGGAATGTTATGAGCATCAGAGTGTACAAAACTATAAATACTGAATAACAAACAAAAAATTGTACAAATTCTATTTAACTTTAAAGAGTAAACTTGATGGACATAACTAGTTCCAGAACCCTGATAAAATAGAGGTTCAAGAACCTCTTGAGATATAAATATAATGAGAATATCTAATACACATGCTAAAATGTAGCCTATTGTAACCTTCAGTCAAGCAGCTGAATTTCCATCAAAATTTGAGTTCATCAGTGTATTTACACATCAAAGGAAGGCTTGAGTAATTCAAACTTTAAGATTGTCAATAGTGAAACTGATTACCAACACTTTTCACCTGTTTCACCTAAATTGATACTGCTGTGCAAGTACTTTAAAAACTCTATGCTTCAAGTTTGCACAGTAAAGTAATGGATCGTTATTGAGATTGGGAACGGAGTATGCTAAATATATTGCTATGTATAGGAAAAAGAATTATGATGTAGCCACAAATTCAGTATTAGATGGAACCATTCATATTTGTTTACTCTTCCATGAAAAGCAATACATTTTCTTGCTAATTTGTAAAAACTTCCATATAATCAGGATTTCAAAATTGCCCTTACAGTATGCTGCGTCAGAGACTCATTAGATCTATGCATATTGTCAACTTCAACACATTAAAACTCGGGAAAAACACCAAATAGACGTGAACCCTATTATACAATATTTCTTTGGGTTTTTCTTTTCCCTACAGAAAAATCAGCTCGAAAAGGATTTTGTTCTGGTTTTGTTGCGTCTCTCATTTTTACCCTCAGAAAGGGGTCACCTTTTGACCTTTGCTACAACTACTACTCCGAGTTCAATACCTTTTCACGTAACAACTAACCTTTAGAACAGATGCACTATCCTCTTCAATAAAGAAAAGAAAGTAATAAATGGATTACTATTGCTATTGACAAAAATTCTTTGGTGATGTACTACAAGCTTTAAACAAATGAGTCAGATTTTGTTACGGCCTTCGAAAATCTATGATTATTTAACAACAAATCGGAAAGATCCACTCTGATCCTCAAAAACATCATCCCAGGCTTCACTGGATTTTGAGGAACTTTTTGTTTCTGTTTAACCCCTTCCTGACAGCTCCCATACACCATACATTGAACATCGTGAGCCAAGATGCCTTCCTCCCTTACAACATACATCCTAAAATGTGCCATACAGGATTTCATAATTGTTCTACTATAGCTTTCAAAGAAAATTTACCGCAAAAATGATAAAAAATTCAAAATCTGCAAATACAAAAATGAGCAAATCATATAAATCTTAAATTGTGAAAGGGACTGAAAAGAGGCTGAAACTGTTCACCCTCATGGTTAGCAAAAAAATTGGGCACAGAGCAAGTTGAAAAAAAATTACATCAGGAAGGGGTTAATACACTGACTAGCATTCAATTATTTCACTGATAAACTCACTCAAATACACAGACACAACACATACTTCAGCTTTAGCTCACCAAATACTGGTGTAAAAATATAATTTTTCCCATAACTACATTAAAAAAAACCCAGAGAAGCAACTACCAACAAAATTAAATTCACGCCTTTTCTGAGGTTTCAACACTGGACAAAGGAATAGCTGCAGCAGCTGCCCTCTTCAAGGCTCTCTGTCTCTGGTTGGCATATATTCTAAGAAACAAGGCTGCAAAAACGATGAGGACGCCAAAGAACCCAATGACAGTGACTGGGTGGCCGTAGATAACACAGGAGAGGAGGATCGCAAACCCCTGCCGTACTGTCATGATGATCACAAACACCACAGGGCCGTACTGTGCAATTGTGTAGAAGATGAAAAGCTGACCACTTGCGGAGCAGATACTGAGAATGATGGCGTCCACCATAAACTCTGGGTGTCGGAACATGAAGGCTGAAGACTCAAAAAACCCACCTTGCTCAATTAGAGAGACGCTGGTCAACAGACATGAGAACATGTTGACGCCTGCCATCATCTGGATACTAGACATTTTATACTGAGTAAACAGAGCCCCCTGGAAGAAAAAGATCAATTTTTTTAAAAATTAAAATTTTGCGAAAGACTCCATTATTACCCCAAAAACCAAACCAACCCCAGAAAAGAAGTGCAAATGAGAGGTTAGAACTTTTCCTCCGACGGACACAGAGTCCCCAAGACCATACTAAACTAACTCCAGCAAATAAATATGTCACTCTAATGAAACACTGTACAAGCAGACCACAGAGGCAGACAGAGGAAACTGGAATCTGGATCAAATTTTTAGTAGTCATGACACAAACCAAGATGGTTGATTGGAGTCAGAGACCTCATTTATCTAGTCAAATTTGTAAGTACCTGATTCAATATTTGACCCATACCTGCCAACATTGCCTGGGCCAAAATCTATAGTAGACGCAAATTTTTGTCCAAAAATCTGTAGTTGACCTAAAAAATCTGTAGTAAGCTATATTGCCACTTGTCGCATACTTAATTTGGGACCCTTATCAAATTTTGACCCACATCAAAATATGCATGAATGTGTTTGCGACTTCAAACAAATGTAGAAAATGACAAAGAACAAAAAAATATGACAAATATGAAAACTACTAGAGGCATTTACCCTATAGTAGCTGGTGCCGTCCTGTCCTATTCATACATGCACTCACGCACAAATGAAACAAAAAAACAAAAAACAACAAAAAACAAAGAAGCAAAGAAGAAAAGATGAAGAAAAAGTGGGCCTTGAATGACTTAGGCCTAGCCTTGGCCCTTTGCCTTTGCAGAGTATACAAGGAAAGAGTAGGACAGATCCCGAGTCCACATAAGGCCTGCACCAACACGCGTTTTGCCGAGTTCTAGATCTAGTAGTCATCACAATGTAGAATACTAAAATTTGCTTCGAAGTTCAGTTTTCCCCCCCTGGTGTTGCCTTCAACACCCTCCCCCCGTGTATCTTTTAAAAAATCAATAATCCCCCCATTCCGGATTCCTATACTTCGCAGCGCTCAGACTTTGAATGAACTTTGGTGACCCCTACAATTGTCGGTGCTCACAATGTGATGGAACGCGTAGGTTCATTGACCGGTCACAATGGCGTGCCCGACAAGACGCTTGTATAACTATAATCTTCTTTTCTTTTCACAAGTGACAGCACAGGACAAATATTGATTTATTTTCATGGCGACACAGCGTTTGCCATGCACAGCCTGCATGTTGTTACAATTAATGTTGCGTTATCAAACTACTACTAGCCAATTTCTGGGTGGTAACGAAAGTGAAAGTATATCTTGATTATCCCGGTCAAACGTCGGTATCACACATACACTTCCGCTTGCCACCATAGCCGCCTGTCCGCATGAAGAAATATACTCTCGGGGAAGCCGAATGAATATCACAATCGCGACCGGCAAAAATGAACTTAAGGGCGTTATCGGATTTGGTTTTCAAATATTCGATAACTTTCTCAAATTCCTGGGTAATTCACGGGGCCTGGCAGTCACTCTCCTAAGTCGGTGGCTTATCTCTCAAAATCGGTGGATCGGTAGTTTGACCAAAAAGTCGGTGATCTACGATTTTTTCTGTAGGGTTGGCAGGTATGTTGACCCTTTCAGAAAGTAATGCATATAATCATTCTGTAAAACACCTTAATTGTGTAAGACTTTTACCAAAGACCACAGCAACCAATGGGAATGATTCCTCATGTTGGCTTATCAATTGGTGTTCATTGAATGTTTTTATAGCTTTCTTGGGAGTCTTACATCCCCATCAACAAAAGGTAAATGTGAGGCAGCGTGGTGAAATCAGGCGCTCATCAAAATAATCAAAGTGAAGAAACTAACATTTTTCTGCAGGTTTGTGAATTTTTATAGAATATTCAATTTTTGGCTCACCACCTTTCATTGCCATTATAGAACACATTTCCATGTGTGGATTTTTACTGAAAAACGTTGATTAAAGGCACAAAAATGTATATTTTAATTTTTTACTGAGACTCTCAAGCTAAGGAAATAACTCATCTTTGATGGCCATTTTCTCCTTTATTTGACCTTTGAAACTAGGTGATCCCCACCTTCATTCACAAATATCTTGATTTCTATTCAAGATAAATGATATTTTTTTCATCTAAAGCAAAACAAATGAACAAGCTTTAAGATGATACAAATAACTCTACAAGCCCAAAAATTTACGAGTGCCTGGTTCCACTATGTCGTGACGCAAATCATTTGGAGGGTGGGCTGCCTTGACCTTCTCTGTCAAGGCCAACCTCAGCCTCACCACAGTGAGACAACATCAAAGCAGACAGATCAAGATACACAGTTAAGAACTTTACCACTCCAAACTCAAACAGACGTCTTCTGATGGGACTGAAGAGTTTACACTACAGACAAAAGTATGAAATACCGCAGCAAACACTTTAAGTAACAAACTCAGTTATGCTCAATTGAAGAAAAATGAACTGATAATTTTTTTTTTTTAAATGAGAAAAGATGTTCAAAAGCCAAACGAAAAGCAAACCCAAGGAGAAGAACAATCAAAGAAAAAGGAGAGTAGAAAAAGTACTGGTACTGGAAAAAATAGGACCTATTATGAATGCCCATTAACTATCTGCCAATTCTGCAGTTCATGTACAAATTTGAAATCTAAATTTTACAAATTCTGAGAAAATATAACTTAAGAGTTCAAACAAAGAGTGAAGTTAAAACTGTTCACTGATAATCTTGAAAATTTGGAAGAAATGTATTGGGCCACAAAGTAAACCAGCATCTGTGGTCCTACAGTTAAACTCTTTGCAACCTCATGCTCAAGACATGAGTTCCATTCTTATGTGGGGTATTCTTTTTCACTGAGTATCTTTACCTATCTACTGGGACACTGTACTCCCCTCAATCTGTATTGGCCCTGACAGGCAGCATCGAAGCAGCCTGCCTCCTATATGATCTAAACTGAGTCAATGGGGATGTAAAACATTTACCATTACAATTACCAGTGAGCATCTCTCTGACAAAGTGAACCTACCTGCCAGTTTGAGGTGAAGCTGTCAAACAGCATATAGCCCACCAGCATGACCAGCCCTGAATAAGTTGTCACGCTGTCTTTGTGCCGTGTCGCGTCGCCACTGGTCAGCAGGAACAAGGACACGCCAACAGAGATCATCACAGCCGTCACATACTCGTGATACTCATATGTCTTACGAGAAACAACCTTCCCCATCAACATTACAGGAATCACTTTGGACGCTTTGGCTAGCACCTGCCGGAAGTATAAGTCAGAAACTGTTATAAATACTGAGGAAACGTTGAAGAAAATATGAATGTACATGAGTAACAGAATAGAAAGAAACCAATAAGCAGTCCATCTCATCAATTTACAGTTAACTCTCTGTCTGCCACGTAAAGCTAAACACAGAGAAGAAAAATAGTAGCATAGAAAAGAAGCAGAAGGAGCTGACCACACCAACCTCCCCCCCCCCCCCCATCAGTCACCTTCTTCTTAAACTATGGCAAACAATTTACATGCATAGCACGACAACACAAAAATGAATAACTATTCTCATTTTTACCACACAAAGCCATTGGCTTCAAATACAAAAGTCAGAATACGCACGGAAACACTGAGTCAAACTAGGAAGTAACTGCATCAAACACTCTTGTTTTATACACATACAAGATAAAAACAGATAAAAACTTTAAAAAGAAAAAAAAAGCCTCAAAAAGTCTTCATAGGTTTTTGACCTTCATCTTTACTTTTGAAAAACTGAAGAGTCACTGATTTTACTACATAGCCAAAAACATTTTTTTGTAGCTCTGACCTGAGTGGGGAAACTAACAAACTTGAGAGCCTCATACTGACACCAGGAGGACATGATGTTGGAGAAGGAACTGAACGAGTATTTGTACAAGGGGGCTGTGTGGGCTGGCTGCTTGCGGAAGAAGATGACCAGCAGGGCCATGATAAAGGCCAGGATGCGGTTGATGAAGACAAGGAACTGCGAGTTCTTGAAAAACTCCCCAGAAGACGTGGCTGTGCTGCCATACTCCAGTGTCATGATGCGCTCTTGTAAGATGCCCCAGGTCAGGTACGAACCCTGATGGATAATGAAACAAAACAAAAAATTACATATATGAATGAAGACTGCAGGGGGAAAAACCACCGGAATACACAGTTTTAAGATCTACCATCGAAATTGTTCATGATGGCCACCCATTGTTAAAGAGAAAAGTGGCTGTCTGAGACAGGTGGATATCTTGGACAGTGTCACTGTGATATTTTTTCACATCCAAGAGGAAAAATGGGAAGTGGTCGTCTGTACAGATGGCAGTTTTGGACAGGTAGCCATTAGAGCAGATTTGACTGTATGTGAGTCATATCCCCAGGGGGGCTTCATGACACTACAACATAACATAACATAATGGTCAATGTAAAAAAATGGACAGACAATTTTATATCCCTCTTTAAGAAACAAGGGTTCCCCAAACTTGAAAACAAATCTTTCAAAATCATGTAAATGTGACTGCATTCCCCATAAGACCATGGCAAAATATTCTAAAAATGAAAACCAGTAGCTAAAACAACTATTTATCTTTCACCTGCAAGCCAGCAACACAGATGAGCAAACGTATCGTTCGCTTGGTGAAGGACTCATCTTGTGAGTCTGAACTGCTGGATTTGCTGCCTCCTTCTTCTAAACTGACATGCTGCTCCTTCCCAAAGACACACAGGACCATAAAATTCTGAATACAGCCAGGACCTTTAAACACAAGAAAAAACAAGATGAAATATTCATTTCCATATTGAAAATACAAGTGAACATTTTCTGTCAAACACCTATTGTACTTATCTTCTCTGCTCCTTATTTTTGTGTGTGTTTGTTACTCTCTTGTAACACCTCTAATCTTCAGCACTTATATGATCTTATTGTGTTGCCAGTGATAATACTCTTACCAGAACTAAACATTTTACATTTAACTTTTTTTAGAGACATTCAGAATAGGCCTACATTAAATTAAATTTTCATTAATTCAGCTTAGTTTTGTAAAAGATAAAATTTGTCCTTGTTGAAGTCACCTCAAAGTTGATTGACCTGAACATTTTTTTGCACTATCATTTACTTCACAAGCTTAAAACTATTTTTTCTTTTCTTCATTTGAACATGAGGAAGCTAATAAATTTGCACATAAAAACCTTAGATAATTCTCTTGTGGGCAGAGGTATGTGCCAAAGCATGGGACTGCTCAGCGCCTCTGGCGCTTCTCCCGGTACCTATTCTAAGTCATGGAATAATGTAATTTAGTGGAGAAAAAAAATCTTACTTTACAAATGAGCTAAAAACTATTTTAAATATTTGATGCCTCTGTTCATGTACTTAACTGTGAAGACACAATAAAACGTTTTTAAAAAAATACAAAACATTTTATTAACTTTTTCTGCTTCTGAGTGTTTGTTAAAAATAAATGCAGAAGACTGGCAATAAACTGAAATGCTATCATGCTTACTTTCATAAATGTTTGTCATCACTGTTATGTGCGAGTCAACATTCCAACAGACACCATCCTATCCCAAAAGCTGTTTGACTACTTGCTCTGACATTTGATGACCACATGCACAGATTAGGTGTGCATGCATGGACAAATATTCACCTAAGTATCCCCATGAGGTTCCCACCTTTTGACAATGGGTATTTAATTCACAACTTAACACTCTTTTGCTAAACTTTTCCAGACTTATCCCAGAAGGATTAGCGGCAAGACCTAACCTTTTCAAACAGTTTTGCAACGATGCTTTTGGTTACAAAATGAACCCCAAGAGAACAATCCCTCCTTATTTTACAGCAAAGCAAACAATAAAATGGAAAGGGACATTCTTAGGCATAGGTGAACAGACTTTCAGTGTAATTTTGATCTTTAACAAGCAGTTTGGAAACGAAGGTAGCATAAACTTGAGACACTCAAAGAGAAAAGAAAAGATATCACTTTTCCTCTCCCCCCTCCCCAATAAATCTTGCTGTTTAACAAATATTGTTTTCTCATACATCTCACAATATTGTGCAGAAGGCAAAATCGTTATTAAGTAGTATTATACATATATCAGCCTTCCACCTGCCTCAAACTTTCCAAAAAGATATATATACGGCCTTTCTTAAGGAAGTGGATAGGTGGACCCCGAGGTCTACCTTAGAGGTCAGGGGATAGGTGGACCCCGAAGTCTACCTAGCGATCAGAGGATAGGTGGACCCCGAGTTCTACCTAGCGATCAGAGGATAGGCAGACCCTAAGGTCCACTACGCCAATTTGCAGATCTTTTTGGGTAGGTAGACCCCTGACCAATGAAAAGCCGTCTGACATCATCATGTTAGGAAAGGCCGAAGGCTAGCTAATAAGGGGGAAAAAAAAGATGCCTGACAGACTCGGTTTGAAATAATAATTTTTGAATAATATTTTCTTAACTTGTCCTTTAAAAAAAAAAAGTGATTTGTTGGGGTTCTTTTTGTGTAAATCCCCGCATATGAGACCGAATCTGGAGTAGGCCTAAGTTTAGATCTAAACCTAACACCCGCACCTGGCAACACTGAATATCTTTGACTTTGTGTTTGGAGGAGGCACCTAGCAAACCGAATGTCTTGTGTTTTCACTGTTGTGAGGAAGGCAGTTGTCCCAAGACAGTCAGATGACAGATTCGAATGGCATGGCCATGGACCAATCCTTAATTAAACATACTTATTTCACTACAGTGACTCCGGGGTCCACCAATCCTTTTAATTAAACCTACTTATTTCACTACAGTGACCCCGGGGTCCATCAATCCTTAAATTAAACCTACTTATTTCACTATGGTGACCCCAGAGTCCACCAATCCTTAATTAAACCTTCTTTTTTCACTACAGTGACTCCGGGGTCCACCAATCCTTAATTAATCCTACTTATTTCACTACGGTGACTCCGGGGTCCACCTATCCTAAAACCTAGTATTTCGCTAGGTAGACCTTGGGGTCCACCTATCCTCTTTCCTTTCTTAATAGAACTGCAGTCCAACATACATAGTTCATGCTGGTATACAAAAAGTAGTACAACTACACCAACACAAAAAGCAGCACATTACATTAAAAGACTTGCATGAACATGATAGATTTTTTTATGTCAATAAAGACAGCTAGAAAATGAAAAGCTGACAGCACCAAGCGAGCAAATCATCTTTATCTGCTGCATTGTAGACACTAACTGTGCAACCTTATTGGATAAATTACAAGATACATTTGCCCACTTTAATCTTCCATGTGTATTGTACTGAGCACAAAACGTGTGTTGTGCAGAGCACGAAATTGGTGGCTATAAAACTTTCTATCATATAATCATATAGTTCAATCTAACCGAAGAGTTAATAAATTAGAAGAGGAAAAACTATTGTCAACATAGCATATTTAATGAAAATATTTTGTTACAAAAAGAACATATTTCTTGTGTATGTACAGCCAGATAAAAGTGACTTTAGGACAAAATTACAAGCAAAAGGCACAAACACAAAAGAAACACAATAGTGATTCCACACCCTTGGTACTGTTCCCATTAGTTGAGTTACCGGCAGTTTCGTTGTACTTGATTTTTCGCAAATGTCTGATGATCAGGAAACCAGGGACAAAAATGGTAGCATAGCCTATCAAATTGAAGAACAAGCGCATCATCCAGAAATCACTCCATTCAATCTGCGCTTTTGTTTCAACATCAGTGGTCTCCTGGGCCATCAAAACAGCAGGCAGAGATAGCAGCAAAGCCGCAACAAACAATTCCATGGTTCTGAAAGAAAAAAAAAGGAAAAAAAACGTCTTTGGGAATAAAATTTATTTAACATTGCAGAAAATCAATTCATTACATTTAAATTGTATTACATGGCTTTCCCTTTTTTGGCTTTTTTTTTTTTTTACATTTTCCACTCTTAACAAAGCCTATGAATACTCATGTGTATAGGGCATTGTGGCAAAACAATATGATTTAATTTATGAAATATACCACATTTAAAAAAAGTAACAAGTAACAATAAATAGAAATTTGTGTTGCAATCCACGAAAAAAGGAGCTTCTTCTCCTTCAGGTAGATGAGTGACATGCATGTGTCTAATTTTAAGTCTTTTATTATATACAAAATGTTTTCATTTCGTAGAAGAGTCACAGGTTTCTTGGGCATAAACCGGTTGGATGTTGTGAAGTTTCTTCCGTATTTTGGTCCAGAAAGACACATTGCGCTCTTTATTTGGGGTTTAAGTTTAATGTCAGAGAATGGAATTTTACTGACCACAGATGACTTTACTACTTTTATTTTCAGGTAGTGTAAGAGATTCTATGACACAGTGGCGAACAGTCTCAATGCTATCAACACCTACATAGCTTTGCAGCCAAGCTATTGTGACAGTTTTGAGAGATAGACGTAAAGAAAGGAAGTTTAAATTTAGAACTCTGGTGTCTAGTGTCAGAGTACCCTAAAGATTTCAAACAGTAGGCCAAGAGAGAATAAAAAAGAATTGGAAAATGAAAAGTAGACCTGATGGACGTATCTATTATATTTAAGGCCATTTCAAGAGCAGCAGCCTCAGCAGAGTAGACTGAGGCACTGAGGCTTCTGGATGGAGTTTTACACCTAGGGGACAGAGAACGTGTATACTTGCGAGCAAAATGACCTAGATCTAAACAAAGGCCTGTTGATGCTTCCCCAGACATATATTTATGTTTTCCTTAACCAATTCTTTAGTTCTGTTAAGATATTTTGTTATCAGAAAAGGTATTTCACCGAACCTGAGGTGCTCGAAAAAACTTGTATGGATGCAGTGTTGATTCGGACTACGACCTTTATTACTTTGATCAAGATTTTTCAAATCAAGAAGAGAGTGGTGAAAGATTGATCTGGAATCAGTTATCATTCATTGAGAAGTAATATACTCAATATTACATGTAAATCTAGATTTAGTCTTTTAACCACGTTAAGAACTGACTTTGAACAAAAGCTTGCTATTATTAGATAATTGATTACACCTATATGTCTCAAACCAAAATATTAAAAAAATGAAAATTTGTTTGAGCATAGGGAAACATTGTTAACAGTTTGGTGAAGTTTCATGTCTATAACTTTACTAGGGGGCTCTCATGGTCTTGAGGTTAAGATGTTCGCCTCTCATTCAAAGGTCCCGGGTTCAAATCCGGGTAGCAACCAAAAAATTTTCTTCTCTAAACTTGTCTCCTTTCACCTTCTTTCCTGCTCTCTAGCAATGTTCTGTCATCTGTTTTCGTCTCCACTTTCTACCCCCATCCCCTCACCTCCTTTGCCTCCTCTGGGCTCCTGACTCTTTCTACAGCCTTTCTACTGATACTCCTTGGCTCCTTCTTACTGCTGTCTTTCAGCCACACCCCTGATGTTCTGGTAGGAAAGATCTACACCTAGCCTTCTTGGACAAGGGTGAAAAATCTCAGAGGTCCCATGTGCAAGTTGTGCCCGTTTAAGATCCCTTGTTGGTCTAAAACCGATAACAGTCCGCTTTGGCTGCCACCCCCCCCGGCCAAATTCAAAATTTCCTACCAACTGAAAATGTTTAATGTGTCCTGCACGCTCTTATGACCTTATGCAGTTGCAAGCGCCGTAAAACACTAACAAAAACCCCAAAAAAACACCATAACTTTACTATGGACTGAGTCATTCATGTGATGGTGACACAATTCTCGCATTGTCAGAAAGTGGGTGGCAGCTCCTGTCCTGAGTAATTGAAAGTCGAGTGTGAGGCTGATCACGTAGGTGTTACATTAATTAATAAGCTTAATCTAAACTATGTGACTCTGCAGGGGCAGCTGCTCCTACTGAGATGTCACTTTTTGATCCATCTGTAAAAATTTTCTCTTCCTCAGGATACATGTATCTGTTTATAAGTTGATTGTATATTTAGGTATGAAGTTTGATCAGTAGACTTTTAGTTGTGTTTTTCAAAATGTATCTCTAAATTTGGTTTAGTTAAATTAATAAAGGCCATGGGGTATACTTGGCATGGTAAAGGGTTCGATAGTATTTATAGAAAAATCAATGTCTTTCAAACAGATTCTCACTCCTGAAGGGCTGACTTTATTTCATAAGGAGGATAAGGTTTTTAGGTTTTCGGGAAGGCCATTTGCGGACTGGGTTTTGAGGTACAGAAGTTAGTTTCAAAGCGTACTGCAAAGAGCATTTTTTTACTTCTTCTAATACCTAGAGATGGTTCATGAGCTTCTGCCAGTAAACTTTCTACAGGTGAAGTACGGAAAGTGCCTAAGGCAAGGTTTCCTAGCTGATCCGTAAACAGGACTGGCATGGTCCAGCCTGAAACAATGGTGAAATGGTATAGATTTAACGCCACTTTTAACATTATTAGGTTATTTAAGAGGTGGGACCTCTGAGTTTACTTTAACATCCATCCGAAAGGACCGAGTTAAATGGGAAATTCATGTAAAGTGCCATTCACAAGGACACAACATCGGACCGCGGTGAGGCTCGAACCCCGAACCCGCAGTTTTACAATTATTGATCCGATAGCCTACATTAGACCACGGACGTCCTGGTCCAGCCTGCGACGGACAAAGGAGCGGAAGAGTAGAAGAAGTGTTACTAGTGTCTCCTCCCCAATCGGGGTTGGATAATACGTTTAAGGCATTGGAAGCACTCTGATATCACATCTTTAGGTATTTTAAGTGGAAAATGGTGGAAAAGTATAAATTTAACGTCCCTATCAACACTATTATTACGTTATTTAAGAGGCAGGACCTTCAAGTTAAACTTCCATCTCTGAAAGGGCCGAGCCATATGAGAAATTCGTGTAAAGTGCCTTTCCCAAGGACACAAAGTTGAACCGAGCTGAGGCGCCAACCCCCGAATCTGCATATAATGAAATTGTTTCCATTAAAATCATTATATTAAGCACAAACCAGTAAAGTCCGAGATGTCCTTATATATCTCAGAACTTTTGTCTCCTTTATTGGATCCTCAGCAAGATGTGACTACCATCTAGCTTAAACAAATATATGTCCTTATCCTCAAATATTAATGTGCAAAAAAACAGCTCATATCGACTTCACCAGCTTGCCTCCAACACCATTGATACATAAATACATTTTTGGAGCACAGAGAACAAAATGAGGACCAGTATTAATAAGCAAATAGACAGGCCATCAGATTTTTCAAGTAACCATAATATTACTGCATAATGAGCAGCAAACATGCAACAGGCATTCACCACAAGAGACAGTTATTGATCAGGGTGGGGGGAAGAAGAGAGAGCACATATGTGGGAGTAATAAATCAATACCCAGCGAACAAAAAGTCACAGCTAAATTTTGATGTCAAGTATTGGGTGGCAAACAGTGTACCCTCCCCTGTAGCTGAGATAACAGACAGCTTTTTCAGCTCTTTGGTTATTGATGAGCCATAACAAGCCTGGGTCATAAACAAAATTGATGATCAAATCAGATAGTGTCTGCTGTTGATTGATCTTTTAGTGGCAGATCATTAACTCTTTTCAAATCACAGGTACGATGGTAGGCGACAAAAAAGAGTCTTCTTAAAAAACAAACATCACAAACATATATGCCCTAAGAACAGAATTGGCCACCACACAATAGAAAATAAAGACAAAACTTGAGAGCTTGTAATTTATTAACCACTCCGAACAAAACAAAAGAGGTGAGACAATTCTCTCAGCCATGACACTACACGGGACATATACGATCAGTAAACTTGAAAAATCAGTAGCAGACTAGGCAATCGAAAGTTTCCATCTTAATTTCATCTTTAATAGTTTTATCCCTTTGCCCACAATCCTCCCTCATCACTACCAAGTGATCGAAAACTCTAAGAATTCATTTAAAAAAATTTTTTTTTAAAGCTTTCCTGTGAAATTGAAACATATCATCTACTGCAATAATATCCAGGCAAAAATCTCAGTTCACAACAACAAAAATCTCGCTCTAAAACAAACATTTTGCATCTGTCTTGCAAAACATGTTGCACCCTTCTCAAAGGAAATGATGAATGTTGTCAAAACGTAATGCTCCACTCCTAAAATGGAACCTGAAAGTTACGTTGACAGTTAGAAGCAACTCCTCCTCAACAGGAGTCTATGGAGCAGAGAGATACCGGTTGATTGGTTGGATAGTCACTTGGCACCGTTCCTGACAAGGACATAACAAAGATAGCTTCTTATTGTGTGTATCACATTTTAAGGAGGTGAGGTACTCGATCACAAAGGAGATAGAAAAGGAAGAGGAAGTTCCTGCCACTCTAGGTAGCTACAGATGGGGAAAGGACACGTGGATGAATGCCGCTGTCCTAGCATCAGATGTTTATGGTGGGTTTGAAAGAGGAGAGGAGACTAATAGCAGCATTTGACCTCGAAGATGCCTACAACAAAGTTGTGTATGATGTCCTCTTGAAAACAACGATCAACCTGAAGATTAGCCCCCAGCTCATGATATAGGTAGGTGAGACACTGCTAAAGAGGAAAGTGTCAATGCGACTGGGAAACTGGTCATCTGACACGAGAAGCATCGCACCGCTGTTGCTGTAGGGGTCAGCACTGCACCTGTGTTATTCAACATATACACAGTTGGAATCACCTCTGGAAAACCCAGGGCATGTGCTGAGCTTTGCAAATGATGTCCTTGTATACAGTTAGGGGGAGGACCAGCAAGAAACAGCTTATGTGATGCAACAGGAGCTGGATTGAATTGGGCAATGACTCTCTGGTAGAGATCACATAACCAGGCTCATCACAAGAGCCAGAAAAGATC